GATGCGATAGCTTTTTTGCAGAATTTTTTCAAGGTTTTTTTGTAGGGAGCGGCCTCTACACAAGAACCAGTTTGCAATATGCATAAGTAGAGTTAGATGGAAATGCATCGAATCTGATTGCGAAAACGAAAAAGGCCAGTTCAAAAAATGCTGTAAAATGAGGTCTACTTTCAACGCAAAGGTTTTCTTTTTGAAATTTTTTCCTGATTTTTGTAGAAAACTTCAATCCAGACATAAGACCAACCTCCACAATTTCATTTTCACTTCCATATCGTAAAGATACGCTAAAATAGTGTAATGTGCGTGCAACACTTTCAAAGTGGCCAATTTCAGCGGCGCTTCCTCCGCCAGCGCCGACATACGAAGTCGCAGTGGCTCGACGTATTCCGCTGCCACTGGACGGCCACCTAATCCTCCAGTCTGGAAAAAAAACAGTCTCGGTAAATCCTTGGAAATGCAAGAAAAGTTCGTACCTCGGTAGCTTCTTGCAATTCAGCTTGTTTAGCTGCCAAATCGATAAAGTGGCGCTAAAAATTAACTTTTAAGCCTAGGTAAAGCCCAAAAAGTCCACAGGAAGCTCACATTATGTTCAGAGATCATTTTCTGTAGCATAGCAAGACATTTATGCGGTTCTTCCGAGGGCAGATCAAGCGGTGTATTGATGATTGACTGTCCAGTAACGGTCCAGCCAGATAGTGTCGAATACGGTTTTGGAAGACGTTTTTCGGCACTGGCCGCTGCTGCTTCCAAATTGAATCGAATGGTTTCCCATCTGAAAAAATTGAATTTCATCTCCCTTCAAAAAAAATTTTTTAGAAACCTTCGCGACATCAATAAAAGTTTCCTAGGACTTTCTAAATTTTCATGATGCGCAATTCAAGTCTGCAGTACATCATCATCATCCCACAACTTTTTGTCAGATTATTTATGGAAAACTATGGTTTGTAGGATGTCGAGTGAAGGCTACCACTTATACTAATTAATATGTACTACCTTTGCGGACTCGGAGAAAACTTGCCATTACTGAAACTACGCAGCCTAGCCTTTTTCAAATCTTTCCTATTCTGATTTACGGTACCTGGTAATACAATGAATATATTCTCAGAGATCAATCAAGGCTAACAAAAGATATGCAAAACTTCCTTCAAAGAGTCCAGTCTGTATCATTTTATGCCTTCTGTCCAAATTCCTGCTGTGGCAGCTATATCTGCGCACTTGGCAAACTCACTTAGCGGAACTTTCACTTTCATAAGAGAGAGCCAATTGCTGCAATAAAACATCCAAATTTTGGGATAGACTTGTTTCAAGGACAACGACTAACGCTCTGCAAAAGTGAAGGTAACGTCAAAAAAGGGTATGTCTGATGTCATTTCTTCGAAATTAATTTTGGGACTTTCTTTGTTACATCACAGAGTTAATCAGTGGACTTTACATGGTGGACTGATCCAGTCAAAGAAGTTTGAAGTGCTAAAGAATAAGGCAAATATTTGCGGGAGTCCTGCTTCAGCTACTTTTTAGCTATAGTACCTCTTTAGGTTGACACATAAATCTTCCCAAGATAGAATTCGCACTAAAAGTGTTTAAAAGGTTTTCAAATCATGTTGTAACTTTTCCTGGATCAGATTTTACTTTTTATGTTGTGAATTGGACACGAGTTACATACGCTTAAATATCACTAGGCTTTATGCTAGCACCTAAGATATTCTTTCAACTTTTCTTCAAAAAAGTAATTTGTCTTTTAATTTAATAAGTTT